TCTGGGCTTGAAGAAGGAATGGGAGGCATTGAGGGAAGCAGTAGTCAGCTTTAAGCCTGGCCCCTAAGAGCATGGAACCAGAAGGGTTTTACCCCCAACTCCTCCAGGAAGAAAGACTTGGTCCCTGTACATAAAACACCCTCACAAATTCCTGGGAAAATATACTTAAAGTGTTAAGGAAAAAGCAATTTCAACCAAGAATACTGTACCCAACAAGATTATCTTTCATGTGGGAAGAAAAGACAGGAATATTCTCAGATAAACAAAACCTGAAAGAATTTATCAACATCAGACCAGATCTCCAAAAAGGGAGTGCTATACCAGGAAAATTAAATACAGACACACAGAAATAAGAGTTCTAAAACTAAGGGACCAGCAGTTGGCGTAATAGCCATGACGCTGCACTCCCATGTAGTCGACCGTGGTTCGAGTCCCAGACCCGGTGGCTTAAAATTCACACCAGGTGTGTGTGCATGCATGCCCAAGATCCCAAGAGGATAATGGAGGAGAAGGGACTGCAGCATGGCCAACCCCTCTGGGGGGTGATTTCTCACTTTCTGTCTCTCTGTCTCTCTCTGTCTTTCTGGTGAGCACATGCACCCTATAGCAAAAACCTCTCAAAAAAAAAAAAAGAGTGCTAAAACTGAGAAAGTGGCCAACTTAATCGTACAGACACATCTGCAGTTGAATATTATATCCCAGATTTTAATCGGTAAGATCAAACCACAACAGAAGATAAATGAAGTGCATGAGATTGAACTGGTAAAATAGGATTTTATGACTTTTGACTAAAACATTGCTGATTTTCTTCTAGGCTTTTTTTTCCAGTTTTAATGATTTTTGACATCTTAAGCTGCCAGTAGGTTCATGTACCTACTATTTAAACAGAACCCTAATAACCTGTTTCCTGGCTTTAAGTTTTAAATAAAGTTCCTTAGCATTTCTTCGATTTATTAAAGCTAAAACTGCTTTTCTCAAAATTAAAAAATATATTAAATAATACCTACTTAATGACCATAATAAGCTTTATAGCATCAGTTAGGTGCTACCTTATAGTATATTCATTCTACTCAAGAGTTTCATGCCTAAAGTCAGACATGTATTCACTGATATATATACATACCAGCTAAACTTGCTATTGAAAGTAGTTAATATTACTTAAGAAATTTAGTGAATCAATAAAATATGGGGGGAAAAGGAATTGAAGACAACTGTATATAGCAGAGACAGTGTAATAAGAGAGTGGGAAAGGGCAGAGGGTCAAACATGGGGTAAAAAACATATATATACATATACATATATATGAAAGTAGAAATATATATATATATATGAAACTAGAAATGGAAAGTTAATTACAATAACATGTATGATTAAGCCATTATGCAGTATATTGTGGATGGGAAGTCACATTTTGTATGTATGCTGTGACAAAGCTCAAGGAATGAATGTACATTAATTAAATTAAAATGTTTCAGAAGAAAATTACAGTGCATTTGTAACTAGAATCTAGTTTTGTCCATAGTCTTAGTTTAAGGTACTTTGTGAATCAATAAAATGTGGGAAAAAATATAAAAGAAAATAATAATAATAAAATTAGATAAGAATAAAATAAAAGTGAAAAGCCACCACGTGATGTCACTAGTTCTCAGGAGCCATGGAGGAGTTTTCTTCCAAAGGTCTGCCCCTTGCCTCTCCTGAAGGGGAGAGGGAAAGGGGATTATTAGCGAGATAAAGGAGGGGCTGAAAGACAAGAGAATGCTTTACCTTAAAAAATGTTTTAAAGAAAAAACACAAAACAAATAGGAGACAGAAACAGGCAGAGAGAGACAAAGATTGAGACAGACTACATGGGAGTCCAGCGACATAGCCATTACACTAACTGCTGGTCCCCCCCAAAAAAATTTTTTAATGTAGATTCCTAGACCCTCCAAGTTGTGACAGTTCTGGGGTAGAGACTAGATGTTCACTTTTTTTTTAAAGGAAACCAGTAATTATTTATTTATTTTAATTCATGATACAGTACACGTGCACACATGAGAGAGAAAAGCACCTTTCACAGAACTTGGTCATATCAAATCCCCTTCTCCCTCCCTGGATCCTGGGACCATGTGTGTGCCAGGCCTGTTTTCAAGCCAACAGGGCCAGGGATTCAGATTATGGATGGCATGTGGCTTCCAGCTCTGCAATTCAGTATGCTATCCACTACACCACAGAGGCTGGGCCAGAACCTACAATAGTAATTCTGATCTCGGGCATCCATGGAGTACATCTTTAGAAAGTTTCAAGGCATCCTAAGGCATCAGATGCAGAGAAAAAGGGATTGATCAGATGACCCCTCTTTCTCAAAGCCCACTGAGATAAAAGCAGAAGCTTGCAGTAAGCACTGATTGATTCTCCATACCAGATATTGTACTAAACCCTTAGTATGGATTATTTTATTTAGTCCTTATAACCTAACCCTATTATACCTATTGTTCATGTGAAAATAAGGAACTTGCCCAAGATCCCTTAGCTCTGAGTAGCAGAGCCAGGATAGGGGCCCAGAATCCAGAGCCTGTTCTTAATTAACATTGCCCATGATTTGGAAGTTTCAGTGCTTGCTACCTGCAAAAGGGAGGTTATGGAACCACATTCCCTCTACTGCTGGGTTAGAAAAGAACCCCATGGGCCAGAAGGTAAGTAGACAACCACTTCAGGAGAGGAAGCAGATGATCAAGCAGGTTCAAAGGTCCAGGAACTATGGACAGAAAGGCTAACAAGGTAAAGACTTATTCCTAGAGTGCAGAAGAAACAGAGATGTAGTGACAGACAAAAGTTGCTGACTGGCCTCAGGAAAATCAAGAGAAAACCATGGGAAGCACAGGCCAAGGTTCCTGAGTTCTGTGGCCTCTGCTAGTTAGTCCTGCATTTATACTATTCAACTAACTGGGAAAATAATGAGTTTGATGCATCAAACCAAGTGCAGCTTTGGACCTGAGGACCCTCTACAGAACATTAGAGCCCCCATCCCTCAAAGGGACAATAACACCTACCTCATAGAGTTCATACGGTGAAAATTACAGTATTAACATGCCTCATCGGCCTGCACACACAGGCACTGGACAAGTGTTAGCTGTTATAATCATTAATTACCACTAATTATTACTGTACCCACGCTCACCAAGCAACTACTGTGGCATCTTGTTTATCTGTGAGACACTGAGGTCAAATACGGTCTCTATAGATTGAGGTTTTCTCTCAGAGAGAAGTTTTTTGTTTTGTTTGTTTATTTTAAATTTTTGCCATAGGGCGTGTGTGCTTGCTAGAGAGGGAAAGTAAGAAATCGCGCACTCCCCTCCCAAGAAGATTGGCCACACTATAACCTCTTCTATTCCATCTTCCTCTTGGGATTTGGGCATGCACACACACGCACCATGTCAAGACACCAGGTCCAGAACTTGAACATGAGACACCTATCAGGGATCTAGCACCTCAACCATCTCACCATCTGCTGGCTCAAGAGAAATATTTTTAAGAACTTTTTTTAAAAAGAGTTTAAAAAAAAAAAAAAAACTAAATAGCAAAAAGCCACGTCCACAAATTTATCAATAACTTGTTCAAAAACAATATTTTAGGGACCAGCAGTTAGCGTAATGGCTATGTCGCTGGACTCCCATGTAGTTGACCGCCGTTCAA